AGAAAAGATAACGGCACGGGGACCCCGGCTGGGCAGCGGCCTCGATGATTGCATTTCATTATTAAAAGTAAGGTGGTGATGCGCAGCGATCGCGGAACGGTTGGAAAAAGAAGCGCGGGCGAGCGCGGCGTCCGGTGACGTCCGGTGACGTCTGACGTCGCTCCGCTCCGCACGCGCCACGCGCGGAGAGAGGGAATGTGTGTGTGTGTGTGTGTGTGAGCGCGTCGCGCGAATTAACCGCGTCACTCATTTGATTTAACACGGCGCGGCGCGAGCTGGAAACGGCTTTTTCTAGCGAGACTGCAGACTGCGCGGCTGAGGTTTGCTGTCCAGAGTCTGGACGGTCTGCGGACGGACGCAGACGACGCAGACGCACTTGGCAGTGAGAGTGGCACAGTGGTGATCGCCGCGGCTCGCACACTGCCAGACGTTCTCTGGACTGTTTATGTTGATTGCAGAAGGGGAAAAACAAGCGGCGAAATGAATGCATGAACGCGCACGCTTTCGGGCGGTGTACCGGTGTACCGGCGCACCGCTGGACCGCTGCACGGCGGCTGCATGCCTGCGGTCGTGCAGTTGGTGCGACGCGTGCCGGTTTGTCATTGCTGATTGCCGATTGCCGTTGATTGCCCGACTGCATTCCAACACCGAACGCGGACCGACGGCCAAATCCGCGGTAGAGTCCTCCGCGGCCGCGGATTAGGCCGTCGGAAGACACACTGCGGTACAGGTCCTCCGCCAGGACTCGCCCTCCGACGCGCGTCCAAGTCCCCGAGGCCGAGGGTCGCGAGGTCGCGAGGGGGTGGACTTGGTTGGCGTTTGACGCTGCGTGCGCGGCAGTCAGCATTTCTCCCAGATGCTCTCGCAGCGGCCAACAAGCGTCGTTTCGTCACACCTACGCCAGACCCCGCCGTACCCGCCCCGCACACCGTGTGAATGGTGTTTGAAATACCTGCTGATAAGAACGGCAAGTCAAGTGCGTTACAAACAAAGCGTCGGCAATGTGGGCTAGGAGTGCTATGCCTTCGGCCAAGCAGCTCCGGTGAACACTGTCTTCCTCGCACACCGCTTCGGGACCTTCGGGACGCCCCATGAGTGCGAGAGAGACAGAGCGGTGGAGCGCCTGCAGGCAGATAAGGCGCGCATGCGCATCCTCGACGATGACGACTCGAACGCGCCGAGGAAGGTCGCGGTCCTCGCGGTCCTGCTCGCGTATCGGCCGCACCTGCCTATCAGTTTGTTGACGGCGACCTGGCGAGCTAATCGGCCGCATTACCCTGCTCGTCGGCGGCCTCATCGTAGGCGGCCTCATCGTCGGCGGCCTCGTCGGCGGCGTCCGTCACCTGGTTACCTGCGTGCGTCCTGCGGGGAGTGGCGGGCGCGTTGAAGGGCGCCCAGGTGGCCCTGGCCTCGGCCCTGGCCGGGTCATAGGGGTGCGCGCTGCCCTTCGCGATCCTCGCAGAGGCCGAGACGTGGCCGGCGGGGGGCAGCGGCCCGCGTCCGGGGTCGAAGCACTGCCCCCGGCCGTGGAGGAGCCACTGTCCGTCGAGAGCGTGGTGGTCGCGGGGGCCGTACTGGCGGGGGCCGTACTGGCCGGGCCCGGGCCGCTGCCCCCACAGCAGCCGCTGCTTCTCGCCGGACGCCCCGGCCGCGCCGGACTCGCAGCTCGCGGTGGCCCACATGCCCGTGGTGAAGTGCGTCGAGACAATGCCGCTGCCGCTCCCCGGTGCCGCTCCCCGGTGCCACCGCCGCGCGCCGCGCCGCAGCAGGCGAAGCAGGCGTAACAACAGCCACCGTGAGTCACGGGCGTGGCGCGGCGCGGCGCGGCGTGGTGTTTGGAACTTTCCGATAGCGCACCGACTTTCGATGATGAGGTCCGTCCCGTCCGCCGACCGCCAGCCCGCCGCGTCGCCGTCGCTGTCGCCAGAAGAAGGCGACGGTGGCTCGCGGCCCCACCACTCCCTACGCCCTGCCCTGCCCTGCCCTCCTCGGCGGCGCGGCCACTGATATCGAACACACGACTGATTATTCGGAAGGAAGCGGGAAGTGAGAGTGAGGGGGGAGGGGAGGGGAGGGGAGGGGGTGAGGCACCGCGCCAGGAGTCAGACGTATTAGGGCGGTCAAGTCGGTGCGCGGCACGGCGGGGCACGGCGCGGCACGGCCGGTCATTCCCCCAGGGAAGGCCGCAGGCACGCAGCAGGGCCGCCGCCTCGGCCGTCGCCTTGCCGCGTCCGTTAAGCTCCTCGCCAAACTTGAATTTAATGGGAATAATATAAGGGAAGGCCCCGGCCGTTCCACGTTCCATATTCAAAACGGCCCAGAAACATGGCAATCGGGCTCGTTGACGCGTGGACGCGTTGACGATGCAGGCGCTGACGTCGACGCTGCCCTCGCGGTTGGGGACGGGGGCCATCGGGGGCCATGCCCCGCGCACGGCCAGGCCGGGCCTCCGCAATGGCGCCCTTGGGCAGGGCAGGTGCTAAAGTGCCGGTAAAGACGATTCGACGCGCCGCTGCCGCCGCGCTACACGCGCAGGGGTGCGTTCGAGTTCGAGTTGGAGTACTCGTTCGGCTCCGTGACCACCGCATCGGCCCGGGCACCGACCGCGGAGTTTTCGAACGCACCCGCCCGGCGTGGGGCCCGAGCACCAGCCAGGCCTGGACCGTGTCGAACGCGAAGTGCAGTGCAGTAGTGACGGGCTGCGGCGTTCGAAGTTCGAAACCTAACCAGAGCAGAAAGTTGTTGCGGACGTGCTGCTCAAGGACGAGGGTGGCGGTGGCGGCGGCGCGCGCGGCCTCAGCCTGCCTCAGCTCTCGGCGCCCTCGGCCTCGGCCGCCTGATCGCCCGAAAATCGATCCGCCATCCGCCGTGCCGCGATCGCCGCGACGTCCATGTCGACATCACCAGGCCGCGCCAAGCTTCCGGCGATCCATTTCCGCGCGAGGACAGGACAGGGCGACAGTCGTGGGCAACAGGCCGGGCGGACAGGCCAGGGGGAATGCCCGGTTTACAGAGTCGTTTCACTGTGCAGTGTGCACGCCGATGCCGATGCACGATGCATCAGGATGAAATGGCGCTCCACAAGGTGATGCGGATTACGCGGGACCGAAAGCGCGCTCCGCGGCTCCGCGTCGCCGTGCTCTGCCCGGCCACGCCGGCCTGCTTGTCAACTCACCCGCAGACTGATTCCGAGAGTCGTCCTCGTCGCTCCGTCTCTCTCGCGCCAATAAGGAACGCCCCATGAGTAGGAGAGAGACAGAGCGACGAAAACGACTCTCGGAATGAGTCTGCTTGCCTCGGCAGCGCCATCATCACGCCGTTATGTTTATTTTGTTTCCGCGGACGGAATAATTACACGTGATTCGGTCCGCGCGTCCGCGTGTCACGTGACGGGATGCGCGGCGTAAACGGCAGCAGATGGCAGTGGCGGCCATGTCGTCGGCGAGGCCATGCCCGGCCATGCCGTGCCCAGGCAGAGGGCGAGGCTGCCCGATAGTCCTGATTGAGTCCAGTATCTGGCGCTGGCGCCTGGCGCCGACCTCAGCCAGGATTACATTATGTGCCACCGCGCTGCCTGCCTGCCCGCATCAACGTCCTTCTTGGAGAGCGTCCAGAGAGGCGGCCTGTGGCGGCACGCGACCGACGGATACCCCCGCCCCGCGCCGAGTCAGTGGCCACCCCAAGGGCTCCGCCAGGCCGCCCCGCCAGGCCGGCCCGTCCCGCGCGTCCACGCCGAGACCAATGAATGCGAAATGGCAACCGGCAAACGGCCGGCGGGGAGCTAATGCCTTCCGAGTTCCGACTCCCGCTTCTAGTCCAATGCGTGTTGGCGAAGAAGAACCCGTGCAGTGCTGTCGTCGCTCTGTCTCTCTCGCACCTCTACGGAACGCCTCGTGATTTCGAGAGAGGAGGGAAGACGAAAGCTCCGTTTGGCTGTGTGGTCCGGCGGATGACCGCGGACGCGGACGACCGGGCCGGGCCGGGGCGGGGCCAGCGTTCACCGCGGCCGCGGGGTCGCCGGGCAGGGCGGCCAGAGCGCGGGCCGGCCGACGGCCAAAGTGCAGCCCCAGCACCACGCCGACGGCCGCGGCCGCGGGGGTCACTCTGGAGCGCCAACGGCATGGCGGCGGCGCGGCGCGGCGAGGGTGTCCGAGACTTAATTGGCCATCGCGGGGGAGGGGGAGGGGCGTCCTCCGCGTATCAGTCAGTCATCGGGGCGGAGCGGGGACTCTTAACAGCGACGGAGAGCGTCTCCCCTCACCCGTCTCCCTCTTTCTTCCCCGCGCCTCTTTCTTGCTTCTTTTCTCTCCCCGGTTTATTCTTAGCGCGAGCATGTGCCGATATTTCCATTGATTCCCTTTGTTTATTTCCTGCCGCGCGATTCCGCGTCCTGTCGACACGCCGCGAGTGGGATTTGAACGGTAATGGCGGGGAGGGTTAAGTTAGGTTAAGTTCACCTCCAGCCGCCAGCCTTTACTTCCTCGGACCACGAGTGTTTACCAGTGCCCGAGTCATTATAGACACGCAGCGATTAAATAATAAAAACGGGTCTTCCCAACGGACATAAGCGAAGATCCCGTCTTTCGAAAGAGTTTGTTGTTGAGGCGCGCGTAAAGTGATGCAAGCGGGCATGGTCTGAAACGCCCGGCGAGGTAGGCAACCGGCGCGCACTTCGAGACGCCGCGGCGCTGCGGGACAGCATCCCGCTCCGTCGCGCTCGAGCGACATCGCGAAGGCAGCCCTCGTTGTAAACACTCACTCCCTGCAGGCCGACGCCAACAACACAACACAACATCCCTCTTGCGACTCCCTCGGGAATCACCACGAAACAATGGCCGGAATGAAAGACCCTTTCAGTGCACTCTGTGCCCGACGTGCCCGACTAACCGGCATGGAGAGCGTCTCCGGCCGCGAAGCCGCCGTGCGTTCGGTGTTCGGTGCATTCAGCATTCCCTCCCTGCGCTGCGCGCTGCGCGCCGCGGCCGGCAAATGCATCATACCTAGCTCCTCCTTCTCCAAGCGCGCGAGCGGCGGCTTGGCCGAGGGCGCGGTGGCGGGTGGCGGCAATGCCGACGGCGTGGCGGCGGTCATGGTCCTGGAGGTGGTGGTGGCGGTCCTGGTCGTCTTCTCTGGAGGAAGTATCCGCACTGAATGGAGCTCCCCGTGAGCCGCTGCAGCTTCACACCTCGCATCCACTACTCTGCGGCGGGACGGGACGGGACACGGGACACCCACCCAAGCTACCCAGGCCTGCGCCGGCCTGCGCTCGTGCTCCCCACCGCCCCCTCCGCGCGCGCCGGGCCCCACCGTGCCCCTGCCCCTCCTCTCCGCGGCCCGCTGGACGGCTCGGCGCGGCTCGCGGCTTCGGGCAATGCAGTCGCTGTCGTGTGTTGTGTTGTGGTTCTCCACTCCACCGCCACCAGCTACCACTGGCTGCTCGCTGCACCCGCCCTCCCTCTGCCCCCTCGTGCGGCTACTCGGCTTGCTCGGGGGTACTCCGCGGCCGCCATGCCCCTGGTCTGGCGCAGTCTGGCGCCCCGGGCCGGAGGAGGAGACACTCGCCCAGCAGGAAGTCCCACACCCGAATCGCCTTTCTGACCTGTTTATAGTAAAATTATTCGATCGTAGCTTTTAATCTGCTGTAGTGGTTTTTGAAGTGTATCATGCTACGTCCGATTTCATCTGCCTCTGTTCTGTTCAATAAGGATGTTAAGTAGGTAAACAGTCATTGTCTGTGACTGGCTTAGGTGGTTCAGCACGAAAAGAAAACAGCAGAATAACAATGCACTAACGTTTTATTGATGTATCCACATAAGCGCTATCACAAAAAAAATCCACAAAGTTCCCAATAAGATTGACAAAATGAGAAGGAAAAATAATATATAATATCACTTGATGCACACCACAAAGCATGAATGTGCCAACAAAGCTGTACCTCAAGAAGACTGATGCCACTCAAATTATAATTGGACCCAAAATATAACATACTCATGCACACAATGGGGGAAAAACTGGTGCTCATTCGTTGAGCTTCATTATTTTGAACAATATTTCAGATACAGAGGAAATGCAGTCACATTATGAGGGCAAAAAACTGCCAGAGGTCCACTGCTAAGCATTTAGAATAATACTATAGCGTAGTTTGTAATTCAAGCTACATCAGTGCCACTGCATTATAATTTTTAACTATAAGATTGTGGATTAGAATGACACCATTCTCTTGTGTACATTAGTTGAACCTAGAAAGCTTCATAGCAACATTACAGTCACACTTGAGAAAAGACAGCAGATGTAACACAGAAGCTACCCTTCAGTAGAGTTGGTTCGTTGAGATTTATTCGAAGGGCACTTCCTTTTAAACTAAGCAAATAAAAATAGCAATGTTGACTAAAACCACCATTAGACACTAAAAGAACACCATAATTTAGTATAAAACAATAACCTAGGACACCATTTTCACAAGTGAACGTTTTAGGAAGGCTTTCATTTTACACGAAAAGAAACAGAAGAAGGTGTACTTTAATGCAAGTAGCAAAGCTGCAGTACATTTTCAAGTAACAATTGACAAACTGTTTTCATTTTTCAGCACATTCATTTCTTTGATTCAAATGGTAGAAAATGTTTGAATCTTTTAGAGGTAGTAATTTATTCCAATTTTCATTAACCTACACTTTACTTTAGCTGCCTCAGAACTGTTGGAGCTTTCCACCACCTTACAGTAATAAAGACCGAGATTATTTTTCAATAATATTTCTCCAATACTCAGTTTGATATGATTTAAAATAACATTTAATGCTTTGGCATAACAAAAAATTATTGAAGGCTTAAAATACATTCAGTATATCACAGAATTAAGTATAACTGTAATGAGGAAAACATTCACGTCTAATCAACAGTAGTACCAGTACATGACATCACATGCATATTATGTTGCAACCAAATCAAACCACTATACAAAAATCAGTTGACTATGCACATGACATTTTACCTTACAAATCAGTGGAATATATTTCGAATCTGCAAGTACTGCAAGCCTTCACGGACATGAAGACGCTCAGTCACACAATTAAGTTAAATTGTCTTTATCCAATAATTGATATTCCAAACGCATCAGTACCTTTTAACAATAAAACAAAGATTGACCCATTTCAACTACAATATACTCTATGCAGTCTAACTAGAAAAATTAACAGAAACAAGGCTTTCTACGTGAAACAATCTTCAGAGAAAATTTTGAAAACTATCGACTGAAGTAGGTTTGTAGTGCATTGGTTATAACAACATAACAATAAAAAATACTTCTTGCAAATGTACACATTAAAAAATTCCTACATCACACAGTATTATATAAAATTTACTCATAAAGTATAAAATATTTAGTGGCTTTCATTTTTTTTTTTTTTGCAAGATGTCAAACAGGAGCCGATTGTGAAGTCCAGTTTATTCTGGGAACAAAGTCGAGCTTCATCAATTCTTTTCCTTTTTACCCTGTGAGATTTTACCTCTTCCCCTCACCAGCAAGGAGAATGATTCAAAGGACTTGCGAAATAATTCTTACCAAGCTAAGTTTTGCAGCCTTCAGAACAGAACACCGCAATAAATTAGAATTTTGGGGTCAGGCACAGGGCACAATAAATATTTGCATGCATGAAGACTACTATTGGTGTTGCCTCAAGGACAATTTCTGTGCGAGTTCCTCTAAAACACTTAAAGCATAAAACTCGTTGAAATCGTAGTACCACACTCTTGACAGGCCATTGCATATTAACCGGGATACAATAAATTTTCTACAGCATATTTGAAGTATTATTGCAGAATCCAGTGCAAACTACATTGGTTCTTCAAGTGAGTTCTAAACCAGTTTCTACTGATCTGTCAAATTTAACAGGATGGGGATCAAGCAAAATTCACAACACACCTAGGCACTACTGCAAAAAGTTGACTTGACAACCATAACTAGAACAAATAAAGAAGGCATGAAATATTACATTTGGTAATTCTATCTGTTAGCCATTGATAATTAACTGTAACTTTCACCTGATATGAATGAACAAAGGAATACCAGTCTCACCGCTACTATAATGTGAGTGAATGTACACAAACAGTTGTTGGTTAGTAAATATTATAATTAGAATCAGTGTTAGTATCTTATATCAAATTAAAGTAAGGTTAGGATTTAAAATGATTATACAATAGACGATTAGTGGCCATCAACCTTAACAAAGTTGGTGCCTCCCTAATAAATATCTTCATTAGCATCATAAATCCAGCAACTGACAAAGTCTTCAAAACCAAATCTTTCATACTGCTATTGAAAAACACACTGTATTAAGGATAATTCTTTGAAGTTAGAGGTATATTATGGAGAGGTTGTTGGAAATCAACAAATGTAGTAGATTTGTTTGTCTCACTAAACCATGAGGCACTATTCTCTTTTTTCCGTATGTTTTGCCTTTTGGTCCCATGAAAGTACTGAACAGAATGGAGGAGGGGTGCAATAATTATTGCTGTAAGAACTGATTTTGGACAAGAAACAGGAGAAATTAATAATAGGGGCAAAAAGTGAATGAAGATTGTCGTATAGAACTGAGTATCACAATTTAATTATGCTCATTTGCGAAAGGATTGTGATGCTTCTATTTTGAAGAATGGGATCCATAACAGGATAATCCCACAGGCTTATTAAAAATCTTTCACAATACTAAATGGACTTTCAAGAGTCAAATCTAACACCCTCTCTTCACATACCAATTTGATGAAGATAGATTGTTTAACCATTTCCTCAGCAAATCAATATCAGCACCACTTCAATCAATTAATCAGTTCACATTTTTTCTATAAAATATAAATCTCATAATTCGGTGCATGTCTCATAATGAATTTCGATAAGTTTCCAGCAGTAAACGATATGGATTCTGTGAAGGCCCTACAATGACAAAAAGCAGAATTTGGTTATTTAAGTTCAAGAATGTTGGGATTCAAGGAAACTCTTAACAGGCAGCTTGTCAAATACTTACAGCTTAAAGGTTGGCCAAATCTAACATCAGAAAGCCATAGAGGGATTCTGTGCAGCACATTCTCCAATAGTCATGCGGTACATGGCCATTTCAGAGATACCATGGTAATGCACAAAGGCAGCTGCTATCACTAGGACGTGGAAGATTTGATGGCTCTGGAACTGTGTGGGAAGAAGAGAAGATGAGTTAGTCAGAGACAGTTCTTTAACTGTAAAGCAACATTTGTTGGAATTTTAAACTTCACTCACCCAAATATCACATTTTCCTGGGAAAAATCTTTCAGGAACCCGAAGTGCATAGAACATTGCACCCAGTATGTATAAACAACCCATAAGTATGAGCCATCCCAAAGAGGCTTGAGACAAAGCTTTGAACCAGCCCTCTGAAATGGCATAATGGAAAGCAGGGACAATTCCACTGAGACCAAAACCCATAAAAACACCTGGAACCAGAAAAATAATAATAGAATAAGAATTAAAATAATATATCTGTATTTGCATTAATAAAGCAACTCTAGCACCTAAAACAGCCATACCTGCTCGGACTGGTCTGTATTTAGGTTCTCCAAAACGATCCCACATTGATACAACAATTGATGAAATTCCAAGAACAATAACAACACTTAAATAAATGAGCTTTGCACTAAACTGGCAGTAAAAACTGTAGTACAGCCAAGGTACAAAAGAACCTATGATAAGCATTGCAATTCCACAGTAGTCCAGCCTGCAAAAAAGTTAACCCAGTCAGGTATTTTTGAAATTATACACTCAGAGAAAAATTGAATAAGACACAAATTATATAATATGACACTTACTTGCTGAATAATTTTCCTACAAGTTCTGAATGGCAATGAACAGTGTGGTAGGCAAAAGAGAGTCCTAAGCATATAATGGCTCCAGCAAAGAACACACCAAAAACAGCTTTATCCCAAGGAGGCAGCTCCATGGCAGGTGTTGACAAGAAATAGGCAGCAATGCCGATAAACATAACACAGCCTGACAGAAATGGAATCCAAAATTAGAGAAATAAGAACGATACAGCAGGGACAAGGAACAGAACAGAAGCCATACCTAGCAGATGGGTCCAAATATTGCCTGTTTCGGTGTGAACACGAAAGATGGATGAAAAGCAGGCTTTAAATGAGTTGAGAGGGGGACGATGGCCAGTCCTTAAGAAGTCATTATCCTGAAGCCACTTTGGGAGATGGTGGAAATGGCATACATTCCATGATGCCATAACTTTCCGTACAAATTCCTCTGCTTGCCCCACTGCATTATGAGCCAAGGCACCAAGGTCTATTTCATCCATGAGAACACCAGCCTTCAACACCTCAGCAATCTAGAAGCAGGATCATGTTAGCATGGTTGAGTGAAATTACTTGACAGAGTAGGTCAGCAAAAGAAAGGAGGAAGTTATGGACCCTCACCTCAGACTCAAGTAACCCCTGTTCAACGGGAGTACTGGGGAGTGGACATCCTACACCATCATCCTCTGAGGCCAGGTCAGATGCATCATCCTCATCAAGGAGATCCTAAAATGAGAAAATTTAATTAGACAGGATAAAAAATTGTAATAAACAACATGAGAATTAACCATATTCAGCAATTCACAAATATCATAATGTCACATATAGATACCCACCTTCACTTCATGCAGACCAGGAACATCAGAGCTGATAGACAGTGTATCCCAAGGAACACGGCGCCTAAGTCCTTCTGACGCCAGTTCTTCCTCCAAGGATTCAATAGCATCAGCGTAGTCAGTCATAGCTGGGCGACGCTTGGCAGACTTGGTAGTTTTGTCAGCAACTGCAGAAGCATCAACCAGAGATTCTTCTGCACTTTGTGTGAAGCCAAGGGGGGCGACGTTTGAACTGGCAGCTTTAGAAGTGGATGGCATGCACTCAGCCATCTGCAAAATAAAAATTAATTTGTTATTCACAGATAAAACTAAAAAAAACACAGTAGAATTTAAAACTTAAAGCAGGAGAGCGAAAGGCAATATTAGCTGGAGCTTGAAGTTTTTACCTTGAACTAATGGATTAGTAGTAGGTTATCACACCCACATACAGCTTCAGGTTAATCTAAAACAAAAGACATGAAAAAATTAAATGAATCACATGAAATCAAAACACTATCTTATTAATTTACCCCTAAAAAAATTGTAATCCCTAATGCGCAGCACAGCACAGACAGTACTGAAGGCTACGCAGCAACTCAGCACTGGTACCCTTGTGCGGCACGAGGTACAGGGACAAACCACAAGGGGTCATCCACTGGCCACGCCAGTGTCCAATCAAACAAGCGATAAGCTCGACACATCCAAGTAATAACGACGTAATGCGATCGTGCGACCAATAACCTTTGATCCCCTAGGAAGTACAGACCCGACCAAAGTTCGTTCGACTCCACGCTTTAGCGAGGCATTTAAAGCTCCTCAAAGAAACTTTCCAGTAACCTTACAAACATCGTGATAAACGGCGCCGTTAAATAGAGCCGGAGACGAATGAAAGCCAAATGTTGAACACACAAATGCGAATTTACGTCCTAGGCTAGGGACACGGAATTGTTTGAAAACAACCGCAGACAGCAGCAGAAGTCGCGGACTAGAAGGTTACATTGAAAGAAAAGTAGGGGATAAATTTGTGGATAACCACGACACATAAAATCAAACAACTTACATAAGCTTTACGGAGAATTTCACAGTTACGAAAGACTTTGAAACAGGTGCTCGGGAAGAGCAGCCATCTGATTTACTTCGTGTACAGACGATTTTCTGGGAGAACAAGGGAAGGGATAGAAAGGGCGGAAAAGAACTGTACCGCAAGGCTGTGCCCGACTCTTCCTGCTAAAATTTTAATTTTTAACAATGTGTGCTCTTTACCCGACCAAAGAAAGCTGGTCACTTTGGACCCTCCTTGAAAATGATCGTCATTGATTGCCGTCGGAGAGATTCATTTGTAACCGTTTGCTTCAAGCACGTCTCCACCGTCTCGCCGAACGGTTTGGCAGGTTGGACAAACTTTCACTTCCGTTTCGGTTTGGCGCGCTCCGCCGTGCCACTTCAAACGCGTGCCGTTGGCAGCGCGCTTTGAGCTTCCGTTCGTTCTCGTTCTGTGTGCGTTGCGGCGCGCACTTAGAGGTGTGCCATGGAGGTTGGGGCAGGGGAAAAGAAATGTATTCAGTTAATTCATTATTTAATTTATTCTACGTTTTTTACAACCTCCTGTCATAGAAAAGTAAATTCTGCTTGGCACGCGCGCTCTTTCGGAACAGTTTTACAGTTTTGACCAGATTAGAACATTTACAGTCTTCTTTCAAAAACCATGGAAAAATAAATAACGAGTTTCAAAGAAATAATTGAAATGAGAAAAGTTCCAGAGAGACTGAGAGAAAGAGACACAGAGAGAGAACGGAATATTATTCTCAACGGGTTGCGCCACATTCTGTTTCCGCTCGGGATTCGCCCACATGGTGTAACACAAAAGTCAATGTAATTCAAAGAGATATGTGGCAACTTTTTTGAAAGCAAGTAGTGGGCCCATGCCCATGCTCGTAAGTGGGTAGATGTCAGTTCCACACATCAAGAAGGAGATTTGACCTAATTTTCACACGTTCCTCTTTCAGAAACTGATTGTCAAAAGTTGTTGCACAGACACTGCAGGTCCTTGTACAGGCACCGAGTACGGTCGAATCGGTGGTTCCTTGACCACAGAATCGAGGAAAAAATTCGACGCTCGTCACCAACGGCGTCGTTTCGACGAACAGGTTCCGACCCGGGCAGATAAAAGACTTCCGACTTTCATTATTTTCCAAGCTGCCGGTCAACTTTCTTCCCCTGAGCAGGGAAAGGGACGGGGCTGGGACAAAGTCGATAGACGTCGTTTTGACTGGCGGCCCCCGCGTGGGCCTCGTGGACTGCGTGGACTAGGTGGGCTCTGAGGCCGGCGGCGCCAAGGGGGGCGGCCGCCCGTCAGCGGCCTGCGGCTTGTCGAGGGACTTGGCGAGCGCAGAGCTCCTTCTCGCCGATGCGCCGCCGAGGCCCCCCAGGCCCCCGAGGGGCTCGGTGAGGACGCGGGCGAGGTGCACCAGCCTGCACAGCCAGCTGGAGCCGCAGGTGGAGGCGGGCGCGTCCCAGGACCGGCGCAGCACGGCGAGCAGCGCGTCGAGCGGCGACAGCCCCTTGGGCTTGGCCAGCCCCGTCTGCCGCCGCACCTGCCGCCCCTCCGCGCCGACGCCAAGGTCGCCGTCGGCCTGCCCCTCGGCGCCCTTCTCCCTCTCCGTCGCCGAGGCCAGGCCGCTGCTGTCCTCCGCCGTCGGGGCGCTGCCGTTGGGTGCGGTGCCGTTTCCCTGCAACATCGAAAAGGGAGGTTTTGGATTCGGCTTGGATTTCTTTGCCGCGGGGCGACAGAGACGGCACTCACGAAGGCGCTGGCGGTGGCGTCGATGCGGCTGGCGAGGGCGTTGGCCCAGGCGTGCTGCTCGTCGTCGCGGTGGTCGTCGCGCCGCTGGTGGCGGTCGGCGGACAGCGGCCCCAGGCCCACCCCGGCGCTCGCGCCGACGCCCAGCCCCAGCCCGTAGTGCTTGTACAGCAGCAGGTACAGGGTCTGGATGATGAAGGCCAGGAACGCCAGGCCGGCCAGGATGGTCAGCGGGTCCAGGCCGATGGGGCTGTGGTGCCAAAAAGCAGTTAGTCCATGTTGGTTGTCCCGTCGGTCAACAACGTGCTGCGCGAGGCGAGGTGTTCTACTCACAAGTACGAGCCGCCGTAGCCCACCTCGTGGCCGTAGTAGCCCCTGCGCGAGGCCGGCGGCCGCGCCAGCATGTCCGTGCCGTCCACGGCCTCGCGCAGCGACAGCGGGTCGTCCGCCAGGGCCCCCAAGTCGTCCGAGCGCGGGGACGCGTACGGGTAGGGGGGCCCCGGGGCGAAGGGCGGCGGCAGCACGGGGGCGAGGGGCAGGCCCCGCAGGGGGCTCAGGGGCCGCTGGGCGGCGTAGGCCTGCATCCGGCCGCGCGCCCCCCGGTACGCCTCGTCCTGGAAGTGGTACCCCTCGGGGACGGGCGGCGACTCCGAGCAGGGCGTCTCCAGGGTGCTCCTCGTGGAGCTCAGCGGCGTGGTCCCCGTCGCCGCCCCTGCGCTGGCGGCGGTGCGGGGCGCGGCCCTGGGGTCCGGGCTCGGGTACGGGGTGGGGCTGGCGGCGCGGTCGCGGTCGCGGAAGTCACCCAAACTGCCAGAGTCCAGGAACAGGCCGGGGGCTGAATGGGCGGGCTGGAGGCGTTGCTGCGCTGACGAGGCTCCAGCCTGCAGCAGCACGGCCAGCGGCAGCAGCAGCAGCAGTGGCGGTCCAGGCATCCTCCAGACGGGCAGGCCACGCAGCCAGCCACACGCTGCACAAAGGAATGCAATGCGTTACTTTACCGCAGGGGAGCTCGTCACTGTCGGAACCGACGAGGCGGGACGGCGGGCGCGTCGCCGCAAGGAATCCGAAGGAACCAGACGAGCGATTCAACGCTCTGTCTCTCTCGCACCCGTACGCAGAGCCCCAGGCGTGCGACAGAGTCAGGGCGACGAGACGAGTCCTCCGAATCGCTCGGCAGGATTCAGCCTGTGGACGAGAGGGTGGGCCACCCGCTGCTCTGCGGAGCGCGACGGCCGCACGGTTGCCTACCCGGCGGGCGCTCGCAGCACCCAGCTCTACACCCAGCCACCATGAACTCGTTTCACAGTACTCGACACCGATTCCGGCAGTTTTCGCGATTCGGTTTGACTGGCTTGGCTGCCTTGTGACAAACTGTAACGCTTTTCCCGGAGCACCGCGAAAGCGAAGACAACGGGCTTGGCACGCAGATCGCCCTTCCATCCTTGGCCTGCCTCGGCCTGCCTTGGCCTTTCCCGGTCGTTTTTGCCGTGTTTTGGCAAAACTCCCCCGGAAACTGGGTGACCTAGTAACGTACGGGACCCAGCGGGGGGAACGCGAGCGTGACGGGGAGGGCGTGGCGGGGTGGGGGAGGGGGAGGGGGATCCCTCTGCCATGCCCACTGCCATGCCCACTGCCATGCCCCAGCTTCTCCGCCGCGCCATGAGCCGCGATGGGCGATCCGGATTACGCCGTTTAGCCGAATGGACGAGCAGCGGACACACGACACAGAGGGAGGGGAGGGAGTCATTTGTTCACTCCATCCTTTCTCTAGTTCTTCGGGCTTCGGGTGCAATCGGAGCCAACGGGGTCGGCCCGAAGCCCGAAGGGAGGACGTCGCCGAGTTTAGCACTTCGAGTCCATCACCGAGGCACAGCGGCGTGCTATAGGCGGACACCAGCACAACGCTGCAGACTGCAAGGCACACTTGGCACTGGGGACCCCTCCGTCGGGGCGGCGAGGCTGAAGGCGAGGCGTTCGACGCCGAGGTGTCCGCCCTGGCCTGGGCCCTGGCCGTCGACGTCCCGGCGGACTTGCCTTGGCACTGTGGGCCCCGCCGCTTCTGGCTCATGGTGCTGCTGGGTGTCCTGGGTGTCCTGGGTGTCCTGGCGACGCACTGGTCCACTAGTCCGCACACATGACTCTAGCCTCTCCGCGGGGAGGGCGGGCTGCGCGAGGGCTGCGCGAGGCCGGTGCGACGCGACGCGGTGCAGGCCGGTGCAGGGCGGACGGACGACGGACTCCAAGTGAGTCACCGAGATGTCACCGAGACTCCAACAAAGGCTGGCCCGCACGGGCCCCACGCTATATACTATACAAACCGCGGCCCGCGGCTGCCTGGCCGGCGAGGGGGGCGGGGAGGGGGGTGAAAGGGAGGAGGACGGCGGCGGGGCAGGTGGATGATTCGGCCCACTTGCGGGTCGGCTACTCAGTCCGGCCGGGACGCGCGCACACACACACACACACACACACACACACACACGCGCGCGGGTACGCACGCGGCCGCGTCAGGCTCCGCTGCCCCCCGTGCCCTTATCCGCGAGCATGGACCATGGCGACGATCCTGCCCCGCCCCTCCCCGGCGGATCGGCAGGCCGCAGCGCCCGCCGCAATCGGAGGCACGCCGACACCGTCACCGAGGCCGTGGAGTGGAGGGTGCAGCAGCTGCAGCTCGTCGAGTGCAGGGCGTGAAGACCAGCGGCAAAGGCAGAGTGTCACCCGCCAGTGAGAAAAGTTTACTGTCTTGAATCTGGATCCGCAGCCTAAACATAAATTTTGAAAAATTTGTTGGCGGTTTTTTTTGTCGTTGGCGCGTTTTGTGTTCTACTGGGGTAGTTTTCGCTGCTGCAGTCGCTTGCTGCACTCGGCGTCGCGTCGCGTGCAGTGTCCGGCCTGCCAGCGACGCCAGAGCGACGCGAGAGTGCGCAGGGCAGGCAAAGCAGGCACGGCAGGCAACGCGTGCCGGCAAATCGGCGAGGAAAGGCGACGCCATAAAGCGAGGCGGAGCGCAGCAGACTGATTCCGCTCGGCGTCTAGTCGCGCTGTCTCTCTCGCACCCGCCATGGAACGCCCCATGAGTGCGAGCGAGACAGAGAGGCCGAAAGCCAAGTTCGGAATCGCTCTGCAGGCGCGTGCTCGTGGCGACGTGACGCGCGGTGCCGTCGGCGTGCCGAGGACCTGGACGCTGGACGAACGATGGACCCCGCGACCGCGACACCGCGAGCCGCCTTGCCTTGCCTTGCCACGGCTCGTTTGACTGTTGGCGCACCGCGGGGCTAGAAAGCAGCACTGCCACTGACTCAAATAATGGGCAGTGTGAGTGATTTTACCCGTCGGTTGAGCTATACGTTTTGCCAATTTACAGGATTTTTTTCTTTTATTTTCCAGGTACAATCCGAGTTTGTGTGAGTAAGTTTGGCTCCGCGGACAGTTAAGTCCACCGCCCCCGCAATGCGCAGAAGTTGCGGCCTTCCCTACGGTACGCGGAGGTGGATAATGACAGTGCCTATTGGTCCATTTCTTTGTGCCTAAATTTTTAATGACCTTTTTAAAAGTTTTCAAACATTTATGAGGCAAGTTGAAAAAAGTGTCTGCCAACTCAAAACAAGGTAACCGATGTGAAAGGGTAATTAAAAAACAACACACACGACATATTTTTCTAAAAATTTGCCATTTCTTTTTATTACATAAAAATTACTGTGTCAAATTGATATGAAAGATTCTGGGGATGGTTTACAAAACTCTGAGATACAAAATGTGTCAGAAATCTGTGCCCAAATTTTTATGAGTAATCAAATGAAGGCACTTTTTCAGTCTATCAAGAATTGTTCAAAAAATCATGAATCCAGGGTTTTAGTCATACACGACAATGGAAGATGTCCAAACTTCTCTATCATGAGAAAGTATTGACAACAGTCAAAATATGCTCTCTAATCTAATTAAAATTTATATTTGTCAAAGGACGGAAAATGAGATTCTAGGCTAAAACATAATTTGAAAACTTAATGGTTAGATATAAATTCATTCAATGGAACATGCCCATCATTACCCTATCAATACTGGTGCCACCACAAATCTTGGTGCCTAAATTTATGGGTGACAAAGTATGATTAAGTTTGTAAAAAATATTTGTTTATAAAAAACCAAACAAAGAGAAAAAAAGCAAAAGCTGAACGACAAATATTACCTAAGGTAAACATTATGTTAATATGATACCAGCACTCTTAAATAGCTCGACACAATTAACCTTTCAGTACAATTCTTCACATTAAAAAATGTGCATGTATTTACATAAAATATATGGCAAACCTATGCACACAAATAAAAGGGTATGAAGTGAAAGAGCATTGGTCACATGCCTCAAGGTAATGCTACCCATAGCAGTATCATTATGGCCTTAAACAAAAGGAGCCCAATGAGATCTTAAAAGAAACAATGTTCTAAATATGAAACAGAATGAAATGCAAGTCAAGGGAGTCAAGGGTGAAAAATCTTAAGATGAGCAGCATCAAGGGTACAAATACAGTATCAAAATAGAGTACAATAAAACATACCGTAAGTACTATCTTTTACAGAAAAGGAGTAAAGGGTACAGTATTAAGTAGATAAGTGTCTACACTTTCTTAGTAGCCCAGGACGGAATAATGGTAACAATTCTAATACAGAAACAGTTCAGTAAAGTAGTATTAACAAAAGTTAAAATTGAACACATTCACATACTTAATTTTGCCTCAAAATATCAGAGGCAATCTCACAAACTCGAAAGAAACATTCTTCCATCAGAATATATGTTGCTAGATAAAACTATACATTACATGCATATAAAACTGCAAAACTAACAAGCATCCCATTTTTTATTAAAGAGAATTTAAAAAAAAGGACTGCAGTCCTAGAACTAGAACTTTGAAGCGCACTCCCTTCCTGAACAGCAATATGTTTACAGTTAATGAAAAAAATGTATAAGGCACAGATGTGAAAATTGAAGCAGCTCTAGATGATTATGATTGGTGTAGTGGCATCTTAATTACAGACCAAGTGTGGTTCCTACAACTAGATTGATGGGCTATAACTTTTCCACAAAAGTAATTAAGGCAAAAGTTATTGAGCCTCGATGTCAGCCAGTCTGCTAGTACTCCCTCTAGCAGACTGGTCCGAATGTCAGGCGTAAGATACCTTTTGCTCATAAGTTTTGTCTTCCCAATCATATTCTGGAGGCTTAGCAGTGTGGCGTAGTTTGCACCACTTTGACCCAAAACGTAACATCAACATTATCAATACTGCCATGAAGAGAACCAAGATGGCTAAAGCTGGATAAAACACGTGGAAAACCATTTTTACTTTTTTCTCACAAAAAAGGAGAGTGAAATGTCTATAAATGAAAAACAAAGGGTTAAATGTCACTTTCCCTCTTCTGCAGTTCAAGATAAACTGTAGGCAATCGCTCTTCGTAGATTGGTTCAAATGGCTCTACAGGCTCAACAACAGGAAGCCAGCTCTTGTCCAACTCTGTGTAGTCCAGAGGAGGCTGCAAGTGAGGAGTTTTCGACCAGATAGGAAGGATCCAGCGATTTCCTAAGGGCAGAGAAAGTCATTAGTAAAAGAGAAATCATTATTACTAAACATTGGAGTTGAGTGAGAAAAATGTACCTGTGTTAGAATCAGTCCAGTAGTCCTTGTGCTTAGAGCAGCAGCAGAAGAAGACGTTCAAAGCGATCAGAGCAATTCCAATCACAGTGCAAATTCCAATAGCAGTGTAGAAAGGGGAAAAGTCACCGGGCTCGTGCTTGGTAAAGAAAGGATTCTTCAAGTAATCGTTCCTGTCTTCGAAAATAGATGGGTTTCTAAAATCGTCTTGGTTTCCGTAATAAGACATGATCTACCAGCTCACAGCATATTCTGAAAGCAAAAGAACGAAAAATTAGTTCCATCTCACAAAATTATTGACTCATTTCCTACAGAAACAATTGAAAGAGATACTGTCTCAACTTTCGATTCAACTAGGCACAACAGTAAAAGGTAGAATAATTGGAAATTTCCTACAAGTAAACTGCTGAGAGCAGAGCACCTATCAGACCAGCAAGAGATAGAAGATTCCGTTAGGAAAGAGAGATCGGTCCAAAGAGCGTATGTTATGCTTATCTAATAGAAAAACAGGAATCTCTGGCCAAATCACAAACAGATTCGAGCTAAACGGGTACATCATGACATGGGTATGGGTGTGGCACGGAGGACATCACTCGGGATGAACTAACAGGTGTTTTGCCGACGCGAGCAATGCAAATCAAATCTCAAGACAAAACCAAAAGCACACAAACCTTCCCGGCCCGAGCAAAAATTGAGGAGAAATTCAATTGATGATTAGAAAGTTTTGCCGCTAACAGTCAAGGTACCCTTCTAACCAAGCCGCTTCACACCCGCCAAGCCCAAGCCACATAGCTACCTCATAAAAATAAACAAGGAATGGACAACAACAACAAGACGAGGTGGCGGGGGGAGGGGAGGGGGGTGAGTGGTGGGGGGAAACAACTGCCTGGCGCTGGCGGCAGACCACGTGACTTCGTTCCCGCCAAACGCGAAAGAGCTCCGCGGAGTAGATGCAAGTTTTTGAAGGGGGCCGGGGTAGATTGAGAAAACGGAGGGGGGGGGGATATGATTGTTGATAAATCGAAGAAGTCGCCACTAACGGCTGAACAAGTTCCTCGTTCCCACTCAATGGATCATTGCCCTCGTCGGGTCATTCCTCTGACCAGCCCGGCCGCCCGGCCGAGCTCTCGCTCCGTCTTTCTCCCTCTCTCCGTCCCACTCCCTCGTGTGGTGTGGTCAGGTGGTCAGTCAGTCAGTGCCAGTGCCAGTCTTACCAGTGGCTGCAGTGAGCAGTGCCGGTGCCCGTTGCCCCGTCGAACTCGGTCGCGATGAACCACAACAACAAGAGGAAGGTGGACGTCAACGACAACCTGGACAGCTTCTCGGTTCCCCGGGTCCCTCCCCCGGCTCTGAGGAACACGAATGTCAACTCGCGCCGCATGTCCTTGGCGGCCGGCACGCTGCCTGGCCACTCGGCCCCGGTGTTTGCCATGCCGGCGATCCCCACGGTCTCCGCCGTCGGCTCCTCTTCCTCGGCCAGCCGCAGGCACGCCGAGGAGCAGCAGGAGCAGCTGGACTCCGTCTTCAACAGCTACATCACCACCTTGGCCTCAAAGCGCAGGGTGGAGATGAGCGCCGTCAACAGTCGCCGTGACATTGCCGTGAGTGCGCGCTGCGGCCCTGCGGAGTGGTGGCGTGTTTGTTTTCGTCCCCCCCCCCAATCCCCTTCTGGCACTTCCCTCCGGTGGTTTCTCGTTCCGGTATTATGGCGGTTTCGTCCCTGCTGGGAGTTGCCTCTGCACCGGTCCGTTTTTATTTTTCAGGAGCAGTTATCAATTCTCCTGCAGGAAAGTGTCAGGATAAAAATTCAGAAAGAAAAGGAACACACGAAACTGGATGAGCTTCACTTTTTGCTGCTTTCTTGCCATATGGCATGTAGTTTCCCACGCTTATTAGGTACTTGCCTATTTATTACAATTCCATGTGTGATAAGCTGGTTTCATTTACCCAAATGTATCAAATTGTTTTCCTTTAGATGAAACTATTATGAGGCAATGTGTTCCACTGCAAGCAATATCAGCATGTGCTCAGAGCCGAATGAATTCTCTAAGATGTACACAGGTTAAGCCCATTAAAGATATGCAGAAATTTGGTAAGGCCCACACAAAAATGAAGTTACGATCTATGGATCTTTTTGATGAGTAAAGCTTTGTTTTCTGTCATTAGATAAAGTTGGAGAGAGTCTAAATGAACTCGGAGAGACTTTCTGCATTCCTTCAGAAATCATAGATAATTGTGTCAACACTGCAGGGTGTCTTCGTGATCTGGAGGAATCAATAAATGTTGTGGAAGAAGAAAACAAAAGGTTTGTTGAGACATTCAGAATTTCATATTCTATTTTATTTCTTAAAGAATTACTTGGTACACTGCTTGATTGTTCTTTGTTACAGTCTGGACCAGTTAAAGGACACCAACCACTGTCTCCTCGCTCAGAACTTTTCAAGTACTATGAAACTGTCATAAATGTTATTGTATTTTATAATTTTTTTCCTATTGTTTACTGATGTTTTCAATTTATGGGGAAGGTAGTTAAAATTTTTTGATACTTTTTTAAGGAATAAATATGGTTTGCAGTTGAATACTCGGTTTTTGTTTTATACAACGTATTGAACTTAAATCAGTCAGATAACATTACACTGTTACAAATTCTAGAAAATGGAATGACATTCTAGCTAATTTATATCTGTAACCTAAAATGATTCGGTTGGATGAGAGATGCAACTTGATGAACTGATATGAGAGAAACATCTACTGCGATGCGAGCAGAAAGCAAATGCAAATTTAAACCAGTAAGGGGCTGCTTACATGTGCTTTGGATGTTGCACAAAAATGCACAACAGAGTGTGTGTGGGGGGATAATGGTGTCATTCCATGTTGCAAATGCATGTACTTGTAAAATACAAGAAATCTCAAAAACAACATTTTTTTTTCAAAAGCGGCATGTGAGATGGCTCGCTTGACCTGGAAAATGCAGCTTCAGTAATTCAAAAGACAATCTATGTAACATGAATGCAAACTAAGTTTAACATCACTATATCCCCTACAGTAATATGTTTGAGATTCTGAACTTGGATAAATTCTAAAGTGGGGACAAATACTTTGAACGGTTATTACATATTTATGTCTAGATGATTATGTAAATGCATTGATTCTAATGAGAACACTGCTGATTAATATGAATGTTGACTATCAACCATTACGTTTGCAGTCTTGTTAAGTAAAAAAGGCAAACGTTTAAATAATTAGTTTTAAACCAAATGAACACTTTCATATAAGTAACTGAAGAAAGGAGAGGAGCAAAATAAATGAGGGTTCTCTAACATCTATTTGACACAACGACTTTGCAAGAGATTCTACAATTGTTGAGTATTGTGCAATGCCATAGACAAAATTACAGAATACAGTATCTTAAAGCTATGAAGTCTAAAGTTCTTAAATTTCAAACAAGTATTCAAGAAACACTATGTATTGACTGGAGAAATGAATTTAGGAAAAGTAAAAACCCCAAAAATTCCAGTATAGCAGTAAAGACATTTACGATTGATAAATAAAAATAAATATGGAGAACATGATGGGAGAGTTCAGCTAGCGAGATGAATGATGCTGCTCAAGTTGCTGGACGCTGCGGCTGCTGGAAGTTTACTGCTTGTTGCGACGGGTGCCTGAAAGCAAAACAAAACCATCATCTCAAGGACTTGACCACTCAATTTTATGAAGCGACCGGCATCTCCAGAAGAGAAACATTTCCGACGCTCTCCGACGGATGGACCGAGAGGAGCGCCGCGAGAGTAGGCAACCCAACTGCCTTGGACTCCCCCCGTGCGGCTTGGGTCGCCTACCTCCGCGGCGCCGACCGACATGACGTGTCTAGTGTCGAGCCGGCAACCGCTGACTGATTCAGAGAGTCGTTTTCGTCGCCCTGTCTCTCTCACACTCGTAGGTGCGAAAGAGACAGAGCGCCGAAAACGACTCTCTGAATGAGTCTGCTGCGGCAAGTGGCCGGCAACTCACCTTTGGCCTTCTTCTGGCCCTTGGGTTTGCACCGCTTGGTGATCTGGCGGGCCTGCTCGCAGGACGGGTCCGAGTTGGGCCGCAGTGCGTCCGTGCGCGCCATGCGCCCGCTCGTGCACTCGCCCCAGGGTCCCTTGTCATAGCGGCAGGCTGCAACACCACACGCAACGTGCAACGTAGAGCCACTTGACTTGCAGTGCAACGCAGAGCGACCAGTGCAGCGCCGCCAATGCAACATGCCAAGGCAGACGAGCGCTCCGACTCACGGGCCTTGCCTCGGACCTGGAACAAGAGGCAGGCTGGGGCAGAAACGCGCCTTTCTGCGTCTGGCCAGTCAGCTCGCTCGGGAAAACGACAGTGTTTCTGGGACCGACTCCGCGCATGCCCAAGTTATGCAATGCACGCCGGACTGCCAATAACACACGAGACTGCACAACGGGCCAAGAGTCCTCCACGGGTGCATGGACATCAAAAGAAGCCAGCAAGCTCGCGACGACGCCAGCAAGGACTTGTCGATACGGCATGCTCCGTGCGCCCTTCCGGGGCTCGACGGCCCCTGGTGGCCCCTTGGTGGCCGCTGGTCCCCCCCTCCCCCCTCCCCCCTCCCAGCGACCCGCGTCTTGTCTTGGCGCCCTAATAGGGAAGCGCTCCATTTTCTCATTGACGGCCGCGGACTCAAGACGAGACACAGCGGCTGAGGCTGGTCGGCCAGCAGGCTGACTCCGAACAGCGCTTTCGTCGCTCTGTCTCTCTCGCACTCACGGGGCGTGCCGGGCGTGCTGGAATCCGGGATGGCCGAGCAGTGTGCTGGCCGACCCCGATCAGAGCCACGCTGTGGCGGGGACATGAACTTGAGGCCGGGCTGACTGGGCCCCAGTGACCGCCATGGCCACCGTGTTCCTCGTTGCGACGCGTTGTGCGTACAGCCCGCGCGCTGCTGCAGCAACGCCACCAGCCTGGCGCACTAGTAGACCGCGGCCAGGTCGAGGCCCCCCTGCCCCTCTTGGTCTTCCCCGTCCTGCCCTCTCGCGGGTGGCGCGGCGACGCGTGAGGAGTGACTCGCGGTGCGCTCTGTTGAATGGCATGGTGCCCTTTGGAGCGCCATCTGGCTCTGGCGAGGCTCCGGCCCTGCTCTGGGCGACACACGACCTGCTCCAGGCTGGTCCAGGCCCTTCGGCCGCGGGCCCTTCGGTTTGGGCCTCGTTTGGCACTCCCGTCACGTCGCCCCGCCCCGCCCCGCCCCGCCCCGCCCCGCCCCGCCTCGCGAAGGGCCGAGGATTGAATCTGTGACGACCCGCCCGGCCACGCCCCGCCCCGCCCCGCTCGGACTTTTTGCCTACCGCCGGCGCGGTCTTTCACTGACTTCGGCCGGCCAGGGCGTTGCACCTTTCAACGGAGCTGCCCAAACTGCCCCCCTCCCCACTCCATCCCTTTCACCACATGGCTCGTCCCGTTAGTTTGAGATTGATGCACTGAGAGAAACGTTTAGGTCCCGCAACTGAATATCCACCTTTCCATTTCGAAAGAAATCTTCGAAAGTATCCATTGGTGGGGTCACACGTTCGGTTCAAGTGCCATTTAGCGACTCTGGAGTTCAAAACGCGTCTAGAGTTATGGCGCCTCCACCGTTCTTCTGGCCCACGCGGACCTCGGCGTGGACGGCATGCTGCCTGCATGCAGGGGGACGGCGCCGCGACGAGCGAGGCGACGAGCCACTCGAGAATCGTGGTAGTCAGCGCGCTGCGGGGGAATAAAAAGGGGTGGCCGCGCCGCAGCGCCGCAGTCCGAGCAGCGCTTCTTCCATCTGTCTCTCTCGCACCCCTGGAGTGGCGACAGACACAGCGGCGAGGACGAAACCACTGTTCGGAGTCAGCTAGCAGCCACACTGCCAACGTGCACGGCGAGCATGGAGATCGCCAGTCCGGGGCAGTCCGGGGCACCCGTTGCAGCATTCAGAGCACCCTCCCCTGCCCCTCCCCTGAATGGTGGCGTGGAGAGTCTGGGCGACGTCGCGTGGCCGAGGCCGCTGGACGCTCACCCTTCTTGCACTTCTTCTGGATGGTCTTGGTCTGTTCGCAGGTGGCCGCGTCGCCCTTCTTGAGCGTCAGCGTCCTGGTGCGGGTGTTGGACTTGGTGTCGCACTCGGACCACGCGCCCTTGGCGTAGCGGCAGGGGTCGTCTGCAACAGCACCGCACGGTGGCGTCAGACAACAAACACAAGTACAAATTCAAGAATGGCAATGACGTCACTGAAACACTGAGGAGTCCCTAGATCCCTCAACCAGCACTGCGGCGTGGCACGCGGCACAGGACGTGACTCGGCACTCGCATGTTTTTCGCGGTGCAGTAGCGCACGACGCAAACAGCATACGGCATGGCGCACCTCCCCGAGTCCAGAGAGAGGGGGGGGGGCTAAGCTAGCAGTTTTGGCTTGTTGGTTTTTCAACCGGAGCGGTTCACCCTGCCCGGTCCCTCCGCAGCCCGACGTCGGAAAAGCGGAAAACTGCGGGGGGCAAACAGGCAGCGTGCGGGCACGGGCCCGGGGACGGGCACGGGGACCGAGGCGGGACGGAACTTTGCCGCTGAGTCGTAAACGGGGTACGCGCGGCGCCACGGCCAGGGCACGGCCAGGGTGCCACCTTCCAAATTCCTGCTGACTGCAGCCGCTCCGGCGCCAGTCAGCACACCGCTGGAGCCCGGGGGCGTTCGCACGAGAAAGGTGAAGCTGTCTGACCCTCCCTCCCGGACCTCCCGGAGAACTTCCCCGAGCAGGAGCCAGGCAGGAGCCCCCGAAGGCACGAGGGCCCGCGGCCCGAAGGGAAAGGCGGGGTGACAGGGATTATGTGTCGCGGGCGAGGCGGAGCGGCGTGGCGGCACAGCGGCAGAGCCAAAGTTAAGGCGGATTGAAGGAACTCGACGGGAAGGCGCGAGGCGGGCGCGAGGCTGGCGCGAGCCGCGAGGATGAGACGCCAGTGAAATAAGACCGAAGCTGCGAGGCACCTCGTCCACCGCGTCACTGCCAAACGCGTTTCCCAAGTCGGAGGTGGGGCGGCCGAACCGCGGAACCGGGAAGCACTAGCGGCCCCGTCCCGTGCCCGTCCCGCCCCGCGTTGGAGTCGCGCTGTCCCTCTCTGTGCGGGTGCGCCGTTTTCGGGAGGGCGAGGCTTCGAGCGGCCTTCGGGGAGGGGTGAAGCTGTGGGGCGATCTTCGGAGCGAAAACGGAGTGCAAAATACGCCACCTGTCCTCCGAGACCCTCCCGCCCTCCACAGTACAGTGGCAAGCGGGGCAAGCTCAGGCCCTTCATCATGCGGTGCACGATCGCACCGCCAGACCGGCATCGCGCACTCAACAGCAGCACAGCAGTGGAGCGGCATTCCGCTGGCTATCGCCATGCCAGTATCGCCCGCCACACTCGCAGACCAACCGCACCCCGCCCCGCCCCGCCTCGCCAAGGGGACAGTGTGACAAAGGGGAGCAGTGCAGAGCTAGGCACTGCGAGGCACTGCGAGCCACTGCCATGCCATGCCAGTGCCAGTGGCTGTGCACGGTGCGGTACGTGGAGCGGTACGCACTGATGGCATGAAATGTGCTCCTCCAGCAGTGACGCCGCACGTCGCACGGCCGCATCCCATATGCAGGGAGGGTCCATTCAGACCGCAAAGGGGAGGCTGTGGCGGGGCGGGGCGGGGCGGGGCGTGCGATAGGGGCAGCGTGCAGCCCGTCTGACAATCTTCATTACGCGCTTCCAGGCCGCGGCGTGTGCGCTGTACTGCCCAAGCTGCGCCAACCCTCTTCTTCGGCGTGGCGTGGCGTGGCGGGGCATGAATTTTCATGAGAGGCATGCTGCCGCCGCCCCGAGACCTGCCTATCCCGCACTAATTGTATTACATAGACGAATCATTTCCGCCCCGCAGCGCCGCGGCTGTCGCGCCGTCGTCGTCGCAGTGCTGCTCTGCTGCTGACCATACGGGCAGCGCGACGGTCACTTCAAAGTCGGCTGGAATGAGCGAGCGAGCGAGACAGCGCCAGTGTTCAAACACACAAAGTAAAGTCCGCCTGGAACAGCCGGGACGGTGCCTCCATCTGGCGGTTCCTGCTGCGCCACCACGGGGCCGAGCCTCGGCCTCGGCCTCTGCCCCGGGGCGGTGGAGGGCGACCGTCGTGCCGTCGTCCTGGAGCTGCCCCGGGCGCGACGACCCGCACACTCCACGCCGTGCTCCAGCGCCGTGCTCCAGCGCCGTGCTCCAGCGCCGTGCTCCAGCGCCGTGCTCCAGCGCCGTGCTCCAGCGCCGTGCTCCAGCGCCGTGCTCCACGCCGTGCTCCAGCGCCGTGCTCCAGCGCCGTGCTCCAGCCTGGGGCTCGCTGGGGCTGCAGCACGCCCCGCAGTGCCTGCGCCTGCCTGCGCCTGGCTGGGCCGGGAAGGCAGGACCAGGGCTGCAGACCTCCCCGCCCCGCCCTGCCCCGCCGGTGGCTGTCTAGTGCCGCATGCTCTAAGCTGGTAATAATCGCATTAGCCGCACCTCCTCTCCTCGCAGCCCCCCGCGACCCCGCCGCACTGAGTCGCACCTGGCTCGGCCTGCACACTGATTCCGTCGCTCTGTCTCCCTCGCACTCGCAGAGCGTCCTGTACATTCGCGAGAGAGACAGAGCGACGAAAGCGACTCTCGGAACCAGTCTGCGGGGAGCCCTGGCCTTCCCTGCCCTGGCGCCCTGGCCCTGGGTTGCGGAGGGACCGGGGACCGCTGCTGGAAGAGTAAGTTGGGCTGGCGATTTGTCCCGACCCGACCCCGCCGGGCCCCGGCCCCGGGCTCCAGGACAGAGGTGCACGTCCTGGACGTCCTGGCTAGAGCACCTGGAACGTCGCTCAGAACTTTGCGGCGGGATGCCTTGGGCTGCCTGGCCAGGGCCTGGCCGCGCGCCGCGCCCCGATAAGGTCGCCCACCCCGCTCAGTCCACCGGTAAAACATTCACGGCACGACGAAGTGGCGACCAAGGGGAACAACGCCGAGACAGTCTCGACACGTGACTGCTGCCGGCCAGCACTCAGTTCCGCCACACTATTGCCGGGGGTGAACGCAGGGCGAACGAAGAAATTGCGCCGCGCTCGCGGGATGCTGCGGACTGCTCTCGCTTCCTCTCGCACCCCTATAGAGCGCCCCGTGAGTGCGAGAGCGACGAGGCACTGCTCGGAGTCAGACTTGAGGCGATTGGCACCGCTACAAAAGAGCTTTGACATTCTCGGGGCAGCGGGGCGGGGTAAGCCGACTGCAGGGTAATGGCAGTGCTGCGACGCGGCCGCAATCAGTGCAGGCTTTCGGCCCAGAGGGGGGAGGGGGGGGGGGCGGCCAATCTACTGCGGTGATAGGGACTTGATCTGGTGGAGTGCCGCGCCATGGCGGGGCGGACAGCGCTGGAATGTGAAGCAGTGAGGCAGTGCGGGCGGCGCGCCGCGGCGGGTACGAACTCAACTGCTTTTGCCGGCCGTCAGGCCGTCACCGAGGCACTAGAGGCGACCCTCTTACGCCCCGCCCCGCCCAAAGGGTGCCCTTCGCTCGTCACGCCTAGAAGCCGTCGAGCACTGCGAACTCCGGCCTGGACTCGGCGCAGGGCCGGGCTACACTTTCTCAGCAGGCTGATTCCGAACGGGACAGCACTTCGTCGCTCTGCCCTTCTCGCACTCCGAGGCCTTTCCCTCAGGCTGAGAGAGACACAGGGCGACGACACGCCGCTGTGCGGAATCGGTCCGCCTCCGGGCGGGGGTGGGGAAGCGGCCTAGGCCTCGGCCTAGGCGGCGCCGAGATTAATTTATTCGCGTAAGTTTCTCATAAGTTACTCTCGCTGCCGAGCATAATGAGGAGCGCATGGTGGGTAAGAGGCGTCGCGCGCGCGCGCTGGCTGGAGGAGTGCTGAAGGAGTGCCTGCACGCTCGGAAAACAGAAATCAAAGTCTTGTCGTGACGCTACTCCGGCAGAGAGTTTTTGCAGCGTCGGGACGGGACGGACAGTTGACGGAAAGTATATCCGGCCCGGGGCTGCCGGGGCTGCCGGGGCTGCTGGGCTGGGCGGAGGTGGAACAGTAGCAGCACCCCCACGCCCCCACGCCCCCACGCCCCCACGCCCCCACGTTTGCCCGAGTTGGAGCGCAGCGCTCGGCCGAGCCGCGGCCGAGCCGGACGCTGCCGTCCCAGTCGGAAGCAATAGGGAGAAGGGATCGCAGAAATTAGTTCCGGTCCGTCCACCAGGCCGCGCCGCTGCCGCTCCCACTGCGCCCCGAGTACACACAACACTCCAGTAGACTCCAGCAGACTCCAGCGAGCGAGCCGCTGCGCTCCGGCCCGGCCGATCCCGGCCCTGTGTTTGGACGTGGGAATGGACCAACACGACCAACACTCACTCAGGGATGCTTCCGTTGTCAACAACATCAGGGCCGGCAGGGCCCGTCCACGGTCGGCCCATCCCAGAGGCCGGCCGGAGAGCACCGAACTTTAATTAAACCGATTCAAACGCTGGAGGAGGAGAAGTGGGCCTGGACGGGCGACGACCGACGACGCCGACGCGACGGCTTGACCAGCCGGAGGAGGCCGAGCGGAGCGAAAAGTGTGGGAGCGCGCGTCGTCTTTTGGGGGCGTGCTGGGGCGGCGGGGGCTCCACGTCCAGCGACTAAAACAACAGACTGGCAGGACGAGCTGGCAGAGAGGCAAGGGGAGCGCCGAGAGAGGGAAGGGACCTTCTTTGCCAACTTCAACAACAACGACGACAACAACAGCAACAACAACAGGCAGGGCCGAAGCGACCGGCCGAACAACCGAGCGGCCCGACGAACCCTGCCGCGCCACGCCGCGCCACCTTGCCGGTCCACTACTTTGCGGGATGAGGCGAGGCGTCATTTCCTTTCTTTCTCTTTCTCAGCTGGAAAACGAGAACGAGAACGAGATCAAAGACAGTGACAGAGAGAGTCCGGATTAAAACGGATTACGCGTCCCTTTGCCCCGCTTTGCCGGCCACGCCACCGTGGCCCCCGCGGCCCCCGCGGCCCCGTTTCGGATTTATTGAAGCCCTCGACTGCGAGAAAAGGCGCAGGGAAGGGGGTGGGGGTGGGGGGTGAATGATTGGGGAATCCCCTGCGGCTTGTGTTGGCAATCCAGCGCCGGGCATAATGAAGCGGTGACCAGGACCGCCAGGACACAGAGCCTTTCGGCCTTTGGCGGGGGAAGGGGAGGGGTGATGGATGCGAGACGACGACGAGGGCGTTGATGGTGTTGATGGCCACTCACTGCGAGTCTTGGCGCCGCGCTCGCTGCGGATCAGCACCTCGCCGTCGTCCTCCTCCCAGACTTCACCGTCGGCGGCCGCCACGGCCAGGAAGAGCAGCGCGCCCACCGCCACCACGGACAGGCCCCACTTCATCCTGGAAACAGACAAAGCACGATTACATTTCGGAAAACACGGCAAGTTTGGCGCGCGCCGCGCGGGGCTGGCGCAGGGGTAGCAGGATGAGGACGCCGCCGTCGCGGTTGCTTTGGCCTCGTAAAGCGGCGCGAGGTTCGTGTTGGTGGTGGTCGTCGTGGTCGTCGTGGTGGCGGTGTTGAGGCTGTTGTGCGGCCGCCCTTGCTGCGCCCGCCCTGGCTCCGGCCGACACGAACGACACCGCGGAGGTTGTTATACGACTCGCCGTTTTATGGAAGGTGCCTTGTTCTCCTTCCCCAGCGGTTCCTGTGCCTTGCCCCGCCTTGCCCCGTTCCTCCACAATCTGCGGCGGGGCCGCGGTCATATTTGCGCTCGACCGGAGTGCCGGAGTCCAGGACGGAGACCCACCCGCCGCCTCCCTGTTCGGCCATACCGCGCATATTTCGGATTGGCCCGCCAAGTTTGCGATGGCCGGAGTTTGCCAGGATTTATAGATGTTTAAGGAGGCGAGGCGGTGTCCACGGCGCGCGCTCCGCGTTCCGACCCGACCCGCTCCGGGTCCTCCGGCCGGCTTAACCGCCGCGGACCTGGCGGCCAACTGGAGCGCCCTCCGGCTTTGCGAACAACGCCCGTCGAGGCGCCGAGGAGGCTGGGACAACTTTTGATGCGCGCGCCTCCCTGCCTCTGCGCCCGGGTTTTTCTTTTTCTCCGTTCGATAGTATCGAAGTGATTCGCCGAGTCATTCTGCATCGGGGCGGCCAGAGAGGGCTGCGCCTCGTCCGACAGGGAGGAGGAGAGGACGGCGCCTGCCTCCGCATTTGCCTTCGCCCGCCGACTGACAAGTTGCAAATGGGCTCAAGTTTGCCAGCACCACAGTACACCACGGCACGCCGCGCGCCGCGGGGGGCGCGGAGCGGAGCGGAGTGGCCGGGGTGGAGTGAAGCCCACCGGGGCGCTGCTGCCTTGCCGCGGCACACCAGATTCCGAGAGTCGCTTTCGTCGCTCTGTCTCTCTCACACCTACAGGGTACGCCCCATCAGTGCGAGAGAGGCAAAGTGGCGAAAACGACTCTCGGGACGGCAGGACAGAACGAGGCGGCGACCAGAAGGAGTGAACAAAGCTCGTTTGTACCCAAGGCAAGGGGACGTGCTGATCCTTCTTGTCCGTCTAAACTACTCGAGCCCACAAGCGCGCCAAACTTCGAGGGGCTGTCAGCCGCCAGTCCGGCCACAACAACGCACTGCGCAGCACCGCGCAGCACCGCGCTGGCGAATGAAATGGGATGGAGTTCCCACTGCACTCTTGGCCGAGGGCTGCCATGCCATGGCGCTAGCCGCCCCTCCTGTCTGCCTGCCTGCCTGCCTGCCAGCCAGTCCGGTACAACAACAATGGCCGGGGGATGGCCACTCGACGCGACAATGCGCATCGCCGATCCACCATCGATCTACGCGCGAGGGCCGCGAGGCTGTAGCTGCACAGTGGGCCAGAAGACCGGTGGAGGCGGCCAAAACTCTAGACGTGTTTTGAGCTCCAGAGTCGCTGAATGGGGCTCGAACCGAACGTGTGACCCGACCAATGGGTTCCTCGTTCGGAGAGCAATCCATTGGTGGGGTCACACAGTCGGTTCGAGCCCCATTTAGCGACTCTGGAGCTCAAAACGCGTCTAGAGTTTCGGCCGCATCCACCGGTCTTCTGGCCCACCCCACTGTGAGCTGTAGCCGGCGGGCAGTCCACGCGACCAGCACGCCACTCCAGCCTCCCCGTCCGGCCGCGCCTTTGTCCACCGCTCTCGAACACACAACCCCTCCACGGCAGGCCGACTCCGAACGCCGTCGTTCTGTCTCTCTCGCACTCGCACTCCGCGGGCCGCCCCGTCGAGCTGCAAGAGAGACGGGGAGACGAAACACAGTTCGGTATAGCTCTGCTGCTGCCCAACCTTTGGACACATCAAAGAAGCAGAAAACTCACAAAAAAAATTAAACTTATTTGTTTTAACTTGAGTGAACTTTTAAAGAAGTAAACCCTGAAGTACAATTTTTACCCCCAGTACTTTCGCCGTGGCCCTGCGCCTTGCAGCTTCGGCAAACCCGAACTACATCCATCGCGGAGGCGTCGGGCCCGCAACCACCGCCCCGCAATTAACACGTCCAAACCCCCTCCTCCCCCACCCCCTTCCCCCGACTGGGCCATTCCTCTCCGTCAACGCATTGGCGTGCCGCGGCGGGCCTCGCCCAGCCCGACGGAAACGAGGGGAGGAAAAATCTCGGCAGTGCGCTGCGCGGCCCGGGCGGCCCGGGCGGCCCGGCTTCCCAGACTCGGGAAAATAAATTCCAGCCAGTAAAGCGAACCGGACCGGCGCAGTCCAGACCGGTGGCGTGAGCAGCCCGGCAGCGTGAGCGTGGCCGAGGGAAGAACGACGGAGCGGCGGAGCGGCGCGCCAGAGTGATGGAGTCCAGGGGCCAGTGGCCGCGCACGGCCCGGCTGGCCTGGCCGCCCTCGGCCATGGGGGAGCAGGAGGGAGCGAGACGGAGAGCGTCATTAAGCTGATGGACAGGTGTTTCTGGGGTGCGACGTGACGCCTCCAGTGGATCCTCTGCTGCTCCGCGCCCTCTGCCCCCACCCCAGTGCCGCGCCGCCGCGCCTCAGCTCCACGACGAACGCGATCAAGCTATTACTGCCCCCCCCCCGGCCCCCGTGCCGTGCCGTGCCGTGCCACCCCTGGCCTGGCTGGGAAGGGAAGAGCCTCCGCGATGCGATGCAGGCATAAGCCTCGCCCCGCCGCCCCAGGCCCAGCTGGAGCTCCTCGCGGTCTTGCACGATTCACTCCATTCTCTTTGGCGACAACTTGGGGGAGGCTTAACTGCCCTCGTTTGTGCAATCAAGCCCCTAATCCCTAACCCGGCGCGGGCACGCCGCGGGGCTGGTAAACCAAAACCAAACACATGGGGCCTGCCCGCCCTGCGCCCCCAACCTCCCACTCCCCAACCTCCCACTCCCCACTCGCCTGGCGAGGCCGTGATCAGGTGCCTCACGTCCCTCTTCAGACTGGTTGCGTTTTGTCCCCACAAACCGCCGTGGTATTAACTCCGCGCGGGCCCCTCCGATCCCAAACGAGGAAAAATTCCCTCGGACTTGCGCGTTGGTGGCGCGGCCCCGGTCCGGCACACCGTGGGGCCTTTGGGAAGCCTTTGGCCGGGCCTTTTGTCAGGGCCGGGGGCCATTCGGTGCCGCAAAAGTCCGAGTCCGGCGGCGAGGCGCGGCGAGGCCGTGGAACAGGGACACGGCGTGCAGTGGGGGGCTGGGCCGCTAGGCCTTCCCTCCTGAGTTATGGCCAGGCAAAGTTATCGGGCGAGCGATTTAGATTTAGCCGGGCCGTGCTGGGCGCTGGGCGTCTAGGCTAGGCGGCCAGGCCAGGCCAGGCCGCACGGCCCGCCCTGCCCGCCGGCCTGCACCCCTCCTTGGCTCGCTGCACCGCCAACTGCGGCCAATTAAGCCCATCAGCTGGCTGCCTTCGAACGGCGCTGGGGTCGCTCTGTCTCTCTCGCACCACGGCGCGACGCCCCACGAGTGCGAGAGAGACAGAGCACCGCCCGCAATCAGCCGCTGCAGGCCCAGCCGAGCTTCGATCTCCGCTGGCGCGCGCCTGATTAAGCCCTCGGCGCAATGGCGGGGCGGGGCGGGGCGGGGCGGCGTATAAAAGTTGAGCCACCCCGCCCCAAACGAGCGCTGCGAAGAGAGGGAGAATGCCGGTGATGCAAATGAGTGACTGGCTGGTGCGTGCCGCCAACGCCGCAAGCCACGCGAACCGCGTCGCCAGGGCGTCGCCAGGGCGGGCTGCTCGCAGTCTTTACCTTGCCGGCGCACGCGACACGCGACGTCGCCGAACCGAGACACCCCGAGAGCACATGAAAGTTTCTCATCTGGCTGCCGCCCGCCGGCAGCGTGTTTTCTTTTTCACTCAGTGAGAGTGTGTGCACGCGAAGGCGAGGCGGTGAGGCCGAGGGTGATCCATCCCCCGGAGTGCGGCGCACTGATCCCTCCCCGCCCGGCGCCTGGAGCCTCGCTCGGCCTGGAGCCGGGATGGGCTCGGCCTGGAGCCTGGCTCTGGAGCAAGAAACACAGGCCGGGAAAACAAAGAGAAATCGGGCTGCATAGCGCAGCGCTGGTGACCGGGGCTCCCTTCCCCTCGCCCTCGCGGGGAAGCAGGACGCAGGACGAGCCCCGCGGCGGGCCGGAGCCGCTCCCGTCGATAGAAAAAGGAGCGCCCGGAGGGTGGAACGGAACGGGGAGGTGTCGGGCCTGGCAGCCCGGCACGCAAACGGGCCGGGGCAGCACGACGGCAGCGCTACCGCAGAGATAAGGCCGGCAAATGCTTCTTGTTCTCTGTTCCCGGTTCCCACCTCGCCGCCATGGCGCCGGCAACACGGCCGCCGCCGTGGAGTGGAACGCCTGAAGAGCAACCCTCCGAAGAGCGCTCTGAAGAGCACCCCGAAGAACGCCCCACCAGGACAACACGCACCTCCGCCACTATCGGGCGCCTGCAGCGGCGCCAGCAGCGCACCGGTACCCCGGCGCGGATTGGGCCGTAAGCCCCTCGTCGCCCCCGCCTCCTCCTCGCGCATGACGGCCTGCCCGACGCGCTGGAGAAAGTATTTTTCCAGCGGGGTAAACATCACGGCGGCGCTGATGGCGCGCCCCGCCAGCCCCGCCAGCCCCGCCAGCCCCGCTGCGGCCGAGGAGGAGGAGAAGTAGAGGAGCTTTCAGGCCGCGCCGCCTCGGCGCCGCCGCCGTACTCTTTGTCAGCTAAAACACTTGGAGCTTCACTCCGGGAACATTAATATTCACAAGTGGACTCTCCGCCGCCACCGCTGCGCCTCGTTGTATAAAGGCTCCGGACGGGGCGCGGCGGGCGCCAGGGCGTATTTGAGTAGGGGCGCCTTGGCCTCGGCTGTCCGTGGCGGAATCATATTTTACCGGCGGGGCGTCGTCGTCGTCGGTCCC